AGGATTACCACTGTGATTGGCAGAACATGTCAATTTGTATTCATTCCAGCCACAATAAGGATCCATAGCAGCCAGACATTCTCTATAAAAAAAAAACAGAACATACATTAACTATATAAATGAGTGGTTGTTTACTAACACAAAAAAATCACAGTGTAAAACATCAAAAGTTGAAATAAAAATTTAGCATGACATGCGTCATTCATAATAGGAACAGTTATAGCTTATTAATGTTAAAATTTAATATTTTATCAGGTTTATGTTCATCATAAATATACCTCATAATATACATTTTAATTGAAAATAAAGTTCACCTTTTCAAAAAAATGAAATGTGTATAAAATGTTTATAAGAAATTAAATATTAAAGAAATAAATAATAAAATACAACAGTTATTTAAATAAGCTAAATTAAGGCCTAGTTGAAATGTGGTCTGGCTCCACACATTAAACTATGGAGTTAGCGTCACTTCCATGTTCATGTAAGTCATTCCTTATTTAAGAACAATAAATTATGGCCTATTTTAGATGCAAAACAGACTAAACAAAATAGAAAAAAAAGCAATTCATTCACAGTATACGATGGAGGAAAAAGAACAAGGCGAGCAATTTTTTATGCAATTTCATTAAAGAAAAACAAATTAACAAATAATAACAAGAATGGACTTTTAAACTAGTAAATGAATTCCACCTTCAAAGTGGTGTATTTTTGAAGCGATGCACAAACAGTTATTTAAATTTTCAGATATGGGTCGCAAATCAATACTTGGAAAAACTTCACAAATGATTTATCATTAAACAAAGTTTTAACTTCTAGAACTATAGTCAGTTTACCCTCCAATCAACATATCAAAAAATGTTTGTGCTGTTTTTTTAGCATCCTTCATTAGAGGATTTAAATCTCATAATGAAAAAAAAAGAAAATGCTATTCAAATAAAAACCTAAAATAGGGAGAAATGAAATAAACCTGATTGAATCTAAAATCTAAATGCTTATACCAAATGAGAAAAATAGAAATAATTAAACAAATGAGAAAAGTAATTAAACAACTAAACCCAATTTAAAATGAATGATTTAGAAATTATTTAGAAGAATCAACTGTAAAATTATCATAGCAAGTAACTTTTCAAACTGTTACAAAATTCATCTTTTTGATTCTAAAATATAAGCATTTTCATTTGAAAAATAATAAGCACCTGCTCATAAAATAAAAATCTAAGAAATTGAAAAGAAAAGAAAATTCTATTTTGGAAAAATTCTATTTGGAGAGAATTATTTTGCACTCTTAAGAAGGAAACATTTTTTTAAAAGTATTAAAATCGTTCTATAATTACCTGGTGGTGTTTCAGAACTGATGTTTGAGCTTCATTAGTGGTACTTAAAAACACAGGCGAAGGATTTCTCAATCGCTGATAAATTATACAATATAAAGTGCAGTTCCATAAATATTTTACCTACAGAAAAAAATATTTTTTTAAGTTAAGAGATTAAACATCAAAGAAATATTTTTAAGCAAATAAAAAGATTGTTTTGAATAAAAATAACGATTAATGCACTTTAGCACCAGAACATTTTATTCATGAAATAAAGAGTTGAAACAATGGTTTAGGCTCAAATTAGTGAATAATAAAATTCTTCAATTCAAATATTTATAACTTAGAAAACATTTAAACCTTAGAATTGGCAATTTTAATAGTTATAAGTCAATGGTTTTCAATCGGATTAATAAATTATCTTACACTTTAAGAGCATGTAGAGCAGTTTAAGATCCCTTAGCTACTTTTTTGAATTATTTTTCAAGAACCCTAGTGAAAAACTATAAGTTTTTAAAGATACTATATAAAATTTAGTATTATAAATAAAATTTGTATAACCAGGGGAGATTGTGGGCCCAACTCAAACTATCCTGAAAATTTCTTGAGTAAAATCATTCAAAAAATAAATATCTCTATAAATTTAAATTATTGAAATTTTCAAAACATGATATTCTAAATGAATTATATGCAGCATAATTTAAATGAATAATTATGTGTAAGTTTACTTTTATCTCTAATCACATTTATTATTCAACCAGAAAAAAATATTTACAAGTGAAAGAGATGCTAAGTATAAATTCTAGTTCTAATATTTTTAAATAAAATATTCAAGCGTTTTTATATATAAATGTGATCGATGATTTCTTGATACTTCTGGACTTTGGATTTCCGGATTGCGGTTAGCAAAAAAGTCACAATTAAAGCAATTTATATAAAAATAAATTAAAGTGTTATGCACGACATAACACAGCCACAAAATAAGTTACTTTTTTCATAAGTTATTTATATTTAACTCATCAAGTTGAAATATATTCATTTTAATAATAAATTACTACTGTCCTCTAAATCTAAAGAAAACACATAACTTCTGGAGAGAAAAAAAATATTACAACCAACTCTCTAACTTGACGTAACTTACAATCTAGTACTGTGAAATAACTTGGAACCCAAATTAGTTATATTATGCTCATTTTAATAAAAGATAATTCTTGAAAGTGAAACTTTAACCATTGCAGAGTTCCCAGTCAATTTTAGATAGAAAAAAATTCCCTGACATTTCCACGTATATCGAGACAACTTCAATGAAAATGAAGACCATATTTTATCTATAACATGCAATTTTTCATCAAAAAACTTTCAGTTTTTAAGTCATATATTAGATTTTGTGAACAAAAAACTGAATAAGGAGGAAAGCACAGAAGTTTCACAAAAATGTAAAATTTTTGCTACAAATAATTGTCATAGAATTATTCAACATGAATCTCAATAACTGATCACTGTTACTGACAAATTTGAGAGTGATTATTTTCCAGGTAATTAATTTTACAGGTTTTTATAAGAATTTTACAGGTTTTTATAAAAACTTTCCCAGCTCTATAGAATCAAAATAAAATTCCAGTTTCTCCTTTGAATTGTGGAAGCAGTTATAACACACATTTTTATAAATAAAATTTTTTTCTCTCTTCTAATTTACAGTTTTAAACTAAATAAATATTTTTGCACTATTTCCTACCATTTAAACAAAATTTAAGTACAGGCTCAATTATAATTTATTTTTTATCTTTATAGATACGATCTCTTTTCTAATTTTCTTTGAATAATATAATTTAGGATTGGATGACACGAAAGCTGAAATTGGCTATATTGTCGCTAACAAAAACACTAATGAAAATACATTAAAAGAAAAAAAAATTGACAATATTAACTTTGAAAAAAAAATATTAATAACTAGGATGACAGGAGACATTTGTTTGTCTAAAGTAAGTAAAGCTGTTGAGGAGCTAAACATTTAAAGATAATTTTATTTTGCATCTTTTTTGCTCACCATAAAAACTCTTAATACGTAATTTCAAACAATAACCAAATGTGTGAATTAGAACAGAAAACTTACTCAGACGAGAATATGAATTACTAAATGGCTGTCAATGAATCATAGTTAAACATATTGGGTTCTTCATTGGCATGTGGCCAAAAACAAAATAATAAAGCATTAAATAAAAGCGTAGCATTGTTAGTCAAATAAGAAAATAGATATTAATGTACAAAAAGTCCCTTCACTCCATTACTATGATGAAATATTAAAGCTCAAATTAAAAAATATGCTAAATGCATGAAAAAAAGGCATATTTTACAAATAAGAATTTTAAGGGAAAACGATTTTTATACATAATGACAAAGCATTGGTTGATCAGCATACTCGAGTTGTTGGAATTCACTATTTTCACTAGATTTATAGTTTGAAGCCCTTTCAAGTAATTAGGAATCACTTAGAAGTATAAGTAGAATACAAATATATAAACAGAAGTGCCAACATTCTATCAGAAAACACAAGTACAATAATATAGGTACATAACATTAATAAAATTATGCAGGCATTTATTATTAGATTAAAAAAAACAATTGGATAGAAGTATTAAATTAAAAATTATGCAACGCTAAAACTTTCCACAACATTATGAAAGGATAAAATTAAATTGATTACTTGGAATCAATGTTTTAGTTTTTAGTTGGATTAGAATTACTCATTATTGTGTTTTTATCACCCTACATTTGCACTACAAAAATTTTTATTCACAACACTTCACATTTGAGTTTATGTTCCTTTGTTTTTCTATAAGAACAGAAGATTAAGTTTAAGAACAGCATGTTGGAAGAAGAAAAGATGATATTTCTTTGCTTTCTTTTTGTTCCTTGTTTCATTCTATTGTTTTTCCTTTATTGTTTGAGGAGTAGAAAAAAAATTATAATTAATCAGTTTCAAACAACAAAATTTTACAACTCTTTGAAGTTATGGGAGAAAATTTTATTTTAAGCAGATTACAGAAACTCTCAAAATCCATACTCAGCCATAATCTTGACAATAAAATCGCTATAATTAGAGATATAACATAATAGCTGGCACCTCTGTATAATTAATGTAGCTAAAAATAATTTATCAAAAATACAAAATTAGCTGAAATTATCAATAACCCAATTTTGCAAAATAATAATTTTTAAAGGCAAGTTTTCAGAAATGCAATCAAATTAGAAAACATTTGAGGCAATTTTATATATGTATAAAAAAAGGCATGATTGGAAATAGTTAAGATGTAATGGAACTGCAATTAGTTAAATTACTCTAAAACAATATCTAAACACGAAGCGCATCATTCTAACAAAATTACAAACTCACTTTAGTTCTTCCTTTACTCCTTGAAGAAGAAACCTCTTCTTTCCGCAATGATTTCTGCAGATTCGATTCCGGGGCAATCTTTGGACAACATCTGCATGAGGTAGTACTCTTACATCTCGACCATTTCTTGCACATAAATGATCATTCTCTTGTAGCTGTTGACATCTAGGCCTATCCAGAATTTTCTTCACCTTCAAACAAAACAATAGAATAAGTCTACAATTTATAAAGCATTCCCAAAACAAAAAATGAATTTTATTAACTACAGAACAAACATTAATAAAACTACTGCAGCCACTAATTTTTTTTCCAAAGTTCATAGTGTTGCGCACTACTTTTTGAAAAAAAAATAGTTTTTTGCAATTACTTTTGAGAATCAGATTGAAGCAAATCTTATGGAAGTCCATCAACGGGCACAATGAGAGTGTCAGTCATGTACTTTACTTAGTTTTTTTTTAATTTTTCATTCCCTTTAAAGGAAGGAATAAAAAGTTGAGAGAAAAAAGAATTCATACAAAACAAATTATTATTTTAAACTATTTCCTTTACAAATTTTTATTTTAGTATTCAACCTTTAAAAAAAAAGAAACATGAGTGTAAATTGGATCCTTAAGCAAAATTTTTCTCCTAAAAGTAGCAAATGACTAAATCTGGAAAGTAATTTGCAATCACTACATTGAAAAAAAAACAGTTGTGTTAAATCTCTGCTTTTTTCTTATCTTGATTTTAACAATCAGAATTGTATTTCATTTATTGTGATAGATGTTTTAGTTCTTATTAATATTTGACATTATAATATTTGACAGCACATGAAATTTTGATTACTTCAAATAGTTTGCAAAAACTATGTTAAAGATATAAAATTGTCACAATAAATAAGGCAAAAATATTTTTCTGCGAAACAAAGGAGTAAAATCAATACATTCATTAAATTTTTTCCCTACGTATAGTAACTGGTAATGGAATACTACATTTAAATGTGTCCATCGAATAATCAAAATCTATTAGTGCTAAAAATTTAAAAGATTATACACATTAATAATCCCAAACAGACATGGTACTAACATAAAAGGAATAATCAAACAATGTTTTTTTAAAAAAATTTCAGTAATGCGGCACTGAATAACAGGTGACTTGAAAACTACAGATAGCCTCCTTTAATATACTTTTTTAGAACTCTGGACAAAAATTTGGTCAAAATTACAAAAAAAAAAGATAAAATATAATTTTGGCTACGTTTTAGACTAGGTTACATTACTATTTCAGAAATTAAAAAACAAAAGCTGCTATCAAACCCTGACAAATCACTATAGAGGAAAGAGGCATGAAAAAACAAAGTCAGTTTGATTGCTTAATATAATTCAAAATGTTTAAAACAATTACCTTCACTTCTGTTATAGAGAAGAAACTGCTTTTGATGTTTTGAAATCAACCCTATTTTAACAGTGATTCATTAAATATTTATTTGGCTTTTTTTAATAGCTCAGATATTAATTTGTGACTCCAAAGAGTTTACTTTCTTTAGAAAGATTTCATAAATGCATAGCTTACCATGCAACACTCTGCAATTTTCTGAATAAAAAGTTAACTTGTTGTGTATAGAGAAAAATCAATATTTCTATACAAATTGTTGACTGAGCTAATTTTGACAAAGAAGCAGAAAATTTGCATTGGAAATTAATGCATCAATTTCTTATAGATTATTCTTGTGATCAGTGCATAGTAAATTGATTTTCAAAGATTACTCAAAGAATTTACATTGGTAAAGATTCTGTATAAATACAGCTCACCATGCAACAAACTACAATTTTCTGAACAAAAAGTTAACTTGTGTAAAGAGAAAAAGTAATATTCTTATACACACTGTTAACTGTGCTAATTTGAACAGAGCCAAAAATTTTGGGAATATTAAATTAGGTTTTTCTTTTTTTAAAATTACTCAACTTTCTCACAGTTTTCTACTAAGCAATTTAAAAAATGCCTTAATTTAAGTCAATAATTAATTCAAAAACAAAACAAAAATTTTAAAAAATTCATATGTAATGAAGAATAATGGTACTGCAGATACTTACACGGAAGTGGTAAATGTTGCATAGAATATTTCTTTCTTTTCAATAAAATGAACACTTTGAAGTTAGTTAAATGGAAAGGGATAATTTCCCAGAACTGAACTTTCAGAAAAGTGGTAAATTTTCCTTTCAAAAGAAAATCTCCTCCTCGGACCATTCTTACAAATTCTGGCAACTCTTGAATAAATAGCCTGTAATTATAAAATTTCAATAAGAAAACAGAAAATGAGAAAAAAAAATAATAATCAAAAAACAATGATGTAAGTGCCTCACTTTTCCACAGTTTATGTACTCAACAGCTGCTTCCCAGAAGAAATAATAAGTGTAATATCTTCAATTTCATATGATGCAACAAAGTTTGGTTCTGTAAAGAGCAATTAAATTGACAAGTTAGGAACAAGGATATTGATTTTTAATCATCCGTTACAAATTAATCAATTTTTAAACAAAGAAAATTTTTTGAAATAGATCATATATTTTAGTTCTGCCTTTTTCTTAATCATAAAGTACAGTATATTCTCGCTATTTTAAAAACTTTGGTATGTCAAACAAGTACTTTGCCCCTTAGCCTCACATATCTATAATTCAACATATTTACAATTTCAATTACAAATACAAATTCATTTACACATTTACAATTTCAATTGCAAATACAAATTCAATTTCTTATTTACAATTTCAGTTCCTATGTCGAAGAGTTTTTTTTTGTCAAAACCTTGTTATGTCAAATACTTTTCGAAGTAAAAAAGTAATTTTTTCGGAAAAATCACTGTGTACAAGTCAACATTACTGCGTCCCAAGAAAAAATGCTGCCCACATATTAAAATATTTCATTAAATTCTGTGAGAACATGGAAAGCAATGACTTGGCAGCTATTTTTCAAAGAGAAAAATTAATTAATGAGCAATTTCAAAAACGATGTTAGTTTCCCCCTAAACTATTAATATAAGTTTATTGTTAAAAAAAATTTATATACCAAATGCATAATTATAGTTGTGTTACTTTTAAGTATAAAATTATAATTGCTGCATTTATATTTACTGTCAACTATCGTACTAATATCTCTTTCAGTACTTATTCTAATGTTCCATGACTCCACATTTTAGAATAATATTAAAGAATTTTTTTTTACGTTTTAGAACACATTTGGTTCTGAACTTGTTGTCTAGAAATTTTTTAGAGTTCCTTCAACTTTGTTATCAAGAGTATACTCTATTACAAAACACTTATACTAGCCCTTTAAAGATGAAAGAAAAAAAAATTTTATGTAAAAATTATTACAACACCAATTTTTATTTATTTTATTTTCTTATTTATTTATATTTTGTTTGGAAAATAAAAAATATCAGATTTAAGGTGCATTAAATTCAAATTCCTCCATTTCCCCCTAACTTTTGGGTGTTAGATTATTAGTTAAATTTCTTAACATTTACTATTCTGTGGCCACCAGTTGCTCAGTTATGAACAAATGTAATTTTTAAAAAATTAGTTATAAGAAAAATAAATAAGTAAATTGGTTTTAAGTCTTTATTTTAATTTACAAAATTAAGTACCTGCATTCATTACAAAGGTTTTCATGTAGAACCCTGAGCAAAAATAGTGGTCAAGTTTTGGCCATAACTTAATATTATACAAACCAAGAATGAGGTATGATTTAATAAAAAAAAATCTGGTAGAACAAAAACTGTTTTACTTTTATTCAACCAGATAATTAAGGCACCACATGAACAATTAAAATCTGTTTCCCCCTTGAGTCTTTTAAACGTGCTTATACGAGCCAGTTTTAAGACAAATTGCAAATTTGGGTTAGGCATTAGTATAGGTAATTTTTTTTTCTTGGAAATAGTTCAAAAAGCAGATTCAAGAAAATGAACTTAGCTTGATATGCACATTTAAAAATATAGACAATGCACAAAATATGTATTTGGAAAAATGACATAACTTAAAATGCATTTGAAAATGAAGCAAAAAAACACACAGCACCAAACTGGTAACTTTATAGCTTAATATTACTTCGTAAAGGGCATATGCTAAACATGGGAGCACTAATTGCAATAAACTTATTTTAACACTTAATTAATAACATGGGTGGAGGGTATCATTTTTTCTTTTTTATCTCCCTTTTCCTAAAAAGAACCCTTACAGGGTTGCCACAGTAAAAAATGAACAAAAATAGTTGCTTTTAGTATCCTCAAGCATGAAAATAGTTGCCCTAAACTATGAAATTAGTTTCCTGAACAGGAACAAAAATTTATCAAAAATAGTAGCTAAATAACTAAAATTATAGCTTAATTGTCAAATATTATTATTAGGACTGGGTGATGTCAGAAATTTTAAGTCGTGATACATCGTCAATTAGACATCACGATATAGTGATGTATCGTAATTCAGCATGTGTTCAAAAATTACCTATGGGAAATCTTTAAGTCAATCAAAAATAAATAAAAAGGAATAAATCTAGTACAAAAGAAAGTATTAATTCTAAACATATTCTAACATAAATGGATTTTCTCTAAAAGTTTCACAGAAAATAGTTTAACTTTTAAAACAAATACAAAAAAACTTACAAGAAAATACAAAGTTAATAAAAATAGCATAACAATATTAAAAAAATTTTGCCTTGTAAATTAATGATGATAATATAAATAATGAAGATCAAATCCTGAAAATTAAATAGAACCATTCTATCCTATAAATTAACTATAATGTAAAGTAATAACATTTACAATAATGCTAATAATCATTTAATATACAGACCTCACTTTTTCCTTTTAGTTTGCACATAAGAACATCCTCAGACTTTGCAGACCAATGAGCTTCCTCTAATTTTTTAAGTCTCTTTAAGCTTAATCTGAATAAATAATCCCTACAAAATGAAGCATTGAATTTAAAAAAAAACATGAACTTAATGATTGCTGTTATTAACATAAAAAGGAATAAAAAGAGACATGCCAAATAAGATATTTCATTAAAAAAAATAGACCACAATAGGAGAATAACAATAGCTTTATATATGCACTTTAAAGCATCATATATAATCTTTCATTTTAAATTTAATTGTCACAGTCAATAATAATACACTTTAGTTAATATGTGAAAATTAATAATCATCAGATCATACAAAATCAAAAATTTTGTAATATAATTAATCATAAAATGAATATAAAAGATATCCTATAATTAATATATATTTTTACTGTATTTATTTTTATTCTATTCACTGTGACATATGAAATGAAGAATTTTCACATTAGCCAGGAATAAGGACGGATATTTCTTTTGTGTTACGAGTAAGGGATTATTTGGTTAACAGTTTTCACCAAGCAAATGTAAAAGATCACTTGAATTAGAAACATTTTTTTAAAAATTCTGACACAAAAAAAAATTTCTTTTTTTTTAATTGTGAAATAAATTAATCGAATGTTAAGTGAAAAATTGCCATTTTAGAAGGGGCTAAAGCCTCCTCTCTGCTTCTACAATCTCTGTAAAAAGATCAAGGAATAAAAATAAAATATTTGATTCTTTAAATGAATACACAAAATAATTGGGATAATTCCTTTCCTTTTTATATATTTTCTTTCTTTTTTTTTTGTTTAACATTTAAAGGTGAAAAATCAGTAGGGAATAAAACTTACCATTTGCACCTACAATGAGTTGAAAGCTTTGAATATTAACGAGTAATTGACCAAATGATCTAACATTTGTTTGACTAAAATCCTCAACAGAAGACTTAATATCTAAATAGAAAATAAAATTCATTCAGAAATTACATTAATAACATACAAATAAAATAAAAAATATATAAAAATTTGTCAATGACAATGAAATTTGTCAATAAACAAAAATTTGTTAAATAAAACATCCAAAAAAATATGTAATACTTATTCACAATAAAATATAATATTATAAAAAAATAATGATATTATTAAAAACCGATGCTAATTAAATAGATGAAAGAAATAAGGCCCTCAATTTATAATTCTTTTTCTTTAAAGTATTGATTTTGAAGTCAACAAACATATGCTTTAAAAAAATATTAACTCCAGTTCTTACAAACAAATTTTTATCCTGCCTCCCCCCCCCCCAAACAAAATTTTTGTGCTTAGCTTACACATTTTTCATAGTAAGCTAAAAGAGAAGTGCATGTAAAATTATGTTTTACAATTATTGAGGTGAAAAAGATTTGTTTACTATTTATGGTAAGGAAGGCAGAAAAACAAGTTGTAGTGCTGCCATCTACAAGGAAAAATATAAATACAGACAGAATGCATAAATATTATGTGAATACTTGAACGGGAAATAGTGATATGATCGTTTTTGCAGCAAGATCGTTTTGGGGGTAAGATGGTTAGTTCAAATAATATTTACAAAGTACGCAAAAATTCCTTTAATTGGGGCAGGGGAGAAACCGTAAACCAAAACTTTACGTAATATATTAATAGCATTAAAAAATAAAAAATAAATAGGATCGCTAAATTATAAAAAAAATTTATATATTCTCCCAGGATAATAAAAGCATTCTATTTTTTTTTAAATTTAAAAATGCATATTGAATATTTGAAATTATTTTATGGATATTTAATTAAAAGATTTTATAAGAAAAACTTAGTTAAAATTCAGTGAAATTTTGTTTTTAAATTCGATGCAAGATTATGAAATAACTTTCCATACTTTCTTTTTGACTATTTTTTAAAAGAAATAAAATTTGTCATAAAATTCTTTATTTTAAACATTCTTTGTAGACAACATTTATAACTTTTATATAACTGATTGATTCCTCCTAAACAGCTCCAGTAGAAATGACACGTGGAGGAGGTGGAGTCCCCCCTCTTTTAAACATTTTCTTCTCTTTCTAGAGTCTCATTAGGTTATTTCCATTGAAGGAGAGGGCATTCTACCCACTAAAATTCCACCCCCAAAGATTGTGAAAGTGAAACTTATTTCACCTTCGCTCATTCCATCAAAATTATTTTGGGGCCTGCTTAGTTATTTCTTATTCTTGTTATTATTAGTTATTTCGTTATTATTAGCTGTTTCGTTATTATATATTAGTTTTTCCTCAAATTGTTAACGGCAATAAATTTTAAAATCTTTTTATTTTAAAATCTTTCTTTTAATAAATTTTTATTGTATTTTTCTTATTGCATTGTTTTACGGATTCCTGCAATCAGTTCAGCCTTAATTCAGCTACTGAACATATAAATATTCTTTTTGCTGTTCTTCTGTTTTTTGGCGCGGTGCCAACTAGTAAGAACAACTTTATTTTATATAGTTTTGTTGTTTTCTTTTTTTTTTTTTGGCTGAAAGAGAAAACTTTTTTTGTTGCTTTTTTTTTTTGCTGAAAAAGAAATTTTTTATTATAATTTAGAAATTAAAACTTTACTTTATGAAATGCATAAAAAAATTAAATTTTTTATTAAACAGATATTCTAAATGGTAATTTAAAGGTCTCTTCTAAAAGGATGCTGATATGCGCGGTTTAGCGCCATTGCGGCGCTTACTATAACTTTTTTTTAAAAAATTTCCTTTTTATCGATGTGCGGAGCTTGTGACGAAAAATACGGTAACCAAGAAAAGTTTTAGCTGTGTAATAATTCAGCTACATTCAAAGTATTGCATCCCCCATTGGGCAAAAATAGACATATCACATAACATAACACATTGCATTGTTATTACAATAAATATATACTTACAGGAATGATTATCCATTGCTTATTACCAGCCAGCATCTGCTCAGGAGAGATTCCAACAGATTCTTGTTCTAACTTGCAATCATGTGATACTGGTTTATTATGTATAATATCAGCGCCAGCACTGATCTATAATCTGTCTTCAGCTTGCAAAAAAGCATGTTCACGACCAGTCTACAACAAAATTTTCCCTTTTAGAAAAATCAAATATTATATTTTATATAAAAATGTAGGTTTAGAAAAATTCAAGCTTACATTAAACTTTTAACTAAGTAAGAACTTTTATTTTTCTTAGAAATTTGCAAGAATCAGTCTAAGCAACATCATTCATTTTTTTTAAAATCATTTTTTTAATCCATTTCAATTTTATGCAAGAGAAAGATTTTGAATATTCACTAAACAAAATGAAAAAAAAAAAATTATGAGCAACATATAAACTAAAAATGTTGATTTAATTGTCAGTTTAAAATTCTTTGTAAATAATTACTTGAGACACGATAGCCTTAGAAAAAATGCAAATTGAAGGGGGGGGGGGAAGAATTAAAAAAAAAAGTTTTCTTAATGTTTTCGCAAATTTTTACCATGAAAACATTCTATTTCCAAATTATCTGAATACTAAAAAAAATAATTTGAGTTTTTAAAAGAACTAAAAATAATTCAGACTTAAAACATAATTTAAAATCAGAAGAGCTATCAGTGACTTTGATGTAAAATTACGAAGAAAAAAAATTTAAAAAAGAGATAAAAAGAAAAGGAAATAAAATAAAAATAATTCATGCTTACTTTCCAAAACATGAGATTCGTAATTAAACTAAACTACATTTTATACAATCGCAGAAAGAAAAAGATTTGAGGAAAGTGATAAAAGCAACAAGTTTAAGAAGAGTTCATATGTAAAGACGCTAAATAGGTGCCAAAAAATTTACAAAAACTAATAAATTCATATCCAAATTTGTCAGACAGTTTCAGAAGGAGGGCTCACAACTAAGTTAACGTGAAGAATTAATCAAACAAAAATCTTGCTTTATAATTAAAACAGGATTTTAGAAGAAAAGAAAACAAGAAAGAAAGGACCAAGAAAAATCAGGAAAAATATGGAGTAATAATAATAATAATAAATATATAAATACAATAAAAAATAAACAAACTAAAGCAGGATAACTTTTGGTACAGTATACATGTACCAGATAAGTTTTAAAAAGAGCAAACGACAAAATATAAACTTGCTGTGCTCAAGTCAATCAAAAAATGGAAACGAGTTGAAACTTTAACATTAACTTATTTCTATTTATATTCCATTTATATTCGATTTATATTATTCTTTATTACTAATATTCTCAACACTTACATCGTTAGTATCAGAGTCTCACTCTAATGAAACTACTGTGAATAAAATTCTATGTATATAAAAAACGCATTTCAAAACATCTATGCATACCTAGCAACTTAAGAAGTTTTAAAAAAGGAAATTTTAAATTGATGATAAATTTTTAAATTTTGGGGGTATTTAAATTCTTAGAAATATTAATAAGCAAGCATTTGAAATTCAAGATAGATATAAATTTATTTTGTATTCTATGGGTCACTTATCGTTTCATTGAATTTTGAAAGAGGTTATTTTCCATGTTTGTTGGAAGGGTTTCCCTAGCTTGGGTTTGAAAATATAAAGTTCCTTTTTTGCTTAAATTTACATCGTAGACAATTATGGGTTTTCCCAGATATGTGGAAATATCAAGACAGTATGAACGTTTTTGCAGATTTTGGTTACTCGTGAAGTATGTAGAAAGAAAAATATATTTATTTCATGATAAAATAAGTATTTGTTGGAAAAAAATTCTGCAGCTGTGGATTTAAGAGATAAGCTTTAAATTCACAGAAATTAAGATTATTTTTCCTCTTTAAAACACAGTTGTACTAAGAAATTCTAATTTTGAACTTTTTTTTATTTTAAACTTTTATTTTTTCATTAATATTAATGTTTTTCTGAAGTTTGTAAATATTCTTACATATTACTGAGACATGTACATGATATTCGAAGTGATATAAACATTGCTGAAAGAGCTAGCTTCAAGAGCTGAGAGAAAACTTCTGAAAAAATATGTACCACAACCAATACGAGTTTATTTTTAAGTAAAGAAAATTAAAATAACAAGTATTACAGTGCAGATAGAGGAAAAAAAAGGAAAACTTCAAATAACTTTTGATCAAATGACCAGATTTACATGTTATGGGACTCAATCAAAATGATTCATGAGTAAAATTTTTTATCATGATTTTTTCAAAAATAGAAAAATTATAACTGTAAGGTGTGCAAACTTTTTTTATCTTAAAGAATTTAATTTTCAAGGAAAAAACACAAAATTTGACCAAAATCAATTCAACTGTTTCTGATAACTCAAACTTTAAATATAGATTTTTCTAATAAAATTCTTAGGAATTATTCAACCGATTGTATTAAAATTTTATATTTTGCTATTACATTCTTTAAAAGAATGCAAAATTTTACATATTTGACTTCGATAATCACATAATCACATACATATTTGACTTTGATAATCACATAAAAACTCAAAAAACATACTCTGTTTTTAGTTTGGTTGGATTTAACTACACTTAATAAATATTACTTAATCTACAAAAAGGTACACTACTTTGATTAAATTTATTTTTATATAGTAGTGAACTTACTCACATAAGACATAATAATTAAGTATGTTATGTTCATAAAAAGTCAAATTGTAATTTTCTTTAAAAATGTTAAAATTTCCGATTTACATTAATACTCAACTTGGCTAATTGTATAACTACACACCAATTATATATGAATTTAAAGTTCAATACAAACTGAGAATCTAAAAATTAAATTACCTCAAGTTCTTGGATAGTTTTTTTAATTCTTGTGGAGAGAGTGAGAAAGTTCGGAATCAAAGTCACTCAACCATTGTTCAGCCATCCTCACAGTATTTAAAAAATAGTTTGTCTTCATTTAGTATCTATTCTAATTTAGCGTTTTTCAATTCTGAAAAAAAAATTCAAAATTATATAGAGTTATAATTATTAGAAAAAATAAAAAATAATAAAAAAAACAATGAAAAGGAATTTAAAAATTTTTGGAGAAAAATTTCATTACATTTTGAACACAAATGTAACCAACATTTATTTTAAACAAAACTAATAGGAATATTTATTTACAACTGATAAATTACACAAAACAGTTGAATACTTATCAATTTTTCAGAAAGATATATTTATAAGTACTGCAACATAGTAAAATAATTTTTTTTGCTATGTTTTGTCCACATGAAGAAAATTATAATTATAAAGAAATTATATAAGTTTCGTATTTAGAATAAGTAAATGGTAATTCATACTTACAAATTTTAAGAACAAGAGAAGAGCTGAAGACATACATCGAAGTGAAGATTTTCAATATCTATTTAAATAGAAGGATTATAACACTAAAAAATGAACAAATTAAATTGATAAATATAGAAAAGGGAAGCAATTCATAGCGACTAAAACAACATAATCACTGGAAATGTGATTCATGAAGTTATCTAAATTTATTAGCATCATCAAATGAGTTAAATTTATTGTAGTTTTAAGTTGTTGTAGTGTTTGGTAGGTTATAACATATGGATTAGTATTTCCATCCAATAAATCTCTTGCATGTTTAGTATTATTCTCCAGTTAAATTGAATGTTTAATTAATTACAATTACAATTTACATTAAAACAACATATTTTTAAAAATTTATTAAAAAATAACCAATTTTTATTTAGGAAATAATTCTGCTAAATGTTAATAATCCACATTTGGCAACTTTTATCCATCTTTTTTGCAAATTACAGTTGTTTGCAATATTTTATTACAATATCAAACTCTTCAAATGACTGCAATTATATCAATTTATTTACTAAATCAACGATTGAAAAATTATTATAAATTAACTTTATTCTCAATTTATTCACAAAGCATCAATTTTCATAGACTAATACTGAGTAAATTATTACTACTAGCAATAAACTTTAAGTAGTAATAATCTACAAATAATAAACATAATTTTAGTGATAATTAAGTTACTTTCCTTTTCCTTAGTCATAGGTACAAGATGCTTAAAAAATTTATCTTTAGTAGAACTGCAATATAACAATAATCTTTCCAGATACTAGTATCAATTAAAAAATAGCTGTAAATTCAAATGTAAAAAAAAAAAGAACCAAAGCCTTATTCTTACTTCATTAAACTGTAAATATAGGTAATTATTAAAAATTTCAAAGTTTCTATTTTCTATTAAACTTTATTGGTCAATTTAGAAAAATTGATGTCCGGTATGAAGAAATATTTAATAATGTTTCATGGCATAAATGATTGTTGGCGCCCGGCTACGGAAGCTTTGCAGAGAAGAATGATTTATTCATAGAATTAAAAATATGTCCGTAATACGAGGCATCCGTTTTGTCCATAACATGAAATACCAACTTGCTCCGGACAATGGATAAATATTTTCGAGTCTGATTATGTAAGCTTTTTGGTATAATAAATTCGATTTATAGGGTTTTTACATACCGTCTAAAAAATTCTTTTTTTAAAAAAAAATTTAAAAAACTACATACATATATGGAACGTTTCGAGTGAAATTAGATCTTTGATTTAATAGAAAATAGTTAATGCTTAATTTATTTTAGCAATAAAAATGTAAATAATTTATGAAATCAAATCTATTTTTCGTGATTCAGCCCCCTCATAAATTAAAGCTATCAGATAGTTGTTTTTATTTATTTTTTTATTTATTTATTTATCTTTTTTTTTTTCTTTGAAGATAATTGAAATTTTACTATTTTTCAAGATTTTTAAAGAATAATTCTTAAACACGCAACTGGAAAAATTTTGGGGGTAAAACGTATTGTTTAATTATTGATAATACTTTCGAAATTATTTCCATAATTTTTAAATCTCTATAAAAAAATATTTAAAAAAATTTTAAAAAAAGCTTTATTTCGCATGAGAAGGAAGATGGACGGTAAGTTGTCTTTTTAAGGCAAAGTGTGACTGAAAATTTCGTTAAGCTAAATTTTATTAAGAAAAAATTGAATTACAAAAAACGACAGTCGCATTCTTAAAAGTAACTGCATCAATTAAATAAAAAAAAAAAATTATATTGCTTTTAATATAAAGCTATGTAAAAGCCTTATAAATTGAATTGGAAAAGAGTAAATAAAAAAACTTACCTTCTACCCCGACGCCGGCGAATTCTCAGCGACTTGTAACTAATGCTCGGATCCACAGCACGCAATCGTTTGCTGACAGGTTCTGGATCATTTTTTTGATTATCGCTCAACTTGGCTGAGAATGAGAAGTCATCAAGAATTTCTAGGCGAGTCTTTCTCTTTCCTGCAAATTTTTTTTATTATTTCTTTTTAGAATTTCTAACAAATGTGTACAATTTTAAACGTAGAAAATATAAATTAAATGCCATGATATATTGCGTATTCCAAATACGGAAATGGAACGACTTTGATCAAATATTTCTTAAATGATAGATTTTTCATAACTCAAAGCTATTCAACCGATTTGACTCAAATTTTGTTCAGTTTAAATGAATAGTTTAGAAGGTTGTAAGCATTTGTATATCTTACAATTTTGTATTTTTTTAACATTAAATAAAATGATAAACAATTAGGAGAAATAATATTTTTCCTTAAATTTTATTTAACATTACTTCTTAAGGAATTCTGTAATTTTTGATTCTTATTTTGTTGTTCAAAAATTATAAGCCAATAAAAATAAGGTATGCTAATTTAGAGGAAACACTTTAGTACAATAAGTAATCAGTATAATAGTTATTCAGTTATAATTCTAAAATAAGCATTTATACTTAAGTTATAATAGAAACAGGCTCTTCAGACTAGTAACTATGTTTGAATAAGCAAATATCCTTAATTTGGTTGTAATTAATCCAAGTTCCGAAACCAAAACTAAACAAAACCGAAACTCAAGAACTATATAACTGCCCTTAATCTGAATGATCTCTGGTTTAATTTAATGGTTAAAATTTCAATAAATGAACAAATAAATTACAAGCGATATATTGACCTTTTTAAGCAATATGAAAACTAATATACTGATTTTCAGAAATAAAAAAAAGGAATTTAAATAAAACTGCTTTTTAATGATCAAAACTGATTACGCGCAATGCTTATGAATTTTTTTTTATTGATTAGTGTATTAAGTTATGAATTGTTTATTGAAAGTTATTAAGCCTTGCTTAAAATATTCTAAGATTTTGCCCAACATATTAAATGCTAGTGATAAAAATTCGACTGAAAGCTGATTAATCGATACTGGAAATATTTATTCCATTTTTAATTGTTTAATTTTTTTAAAGTAATTTTGTCATTAACGGTAGTCAACGTTTAATTTCGCCGCTATGAGGAAAATTCGGAATTCTAGGTGCCTTCTCAAAAATTAATTTTCCTACCTACTATTATCACTAAGAAGAATAAGAATAAGTAACCAATCGTTTTGAGAACATCGTGATGTCATTCAACAACGTTTGTAAATGCTGGGAGATTATATTAAATAGTAACACTTACTTGGAGGTCTGACTGCCACAGGAGGATTTGCAGGGATAACGGCAACAGGAGGATTGACAACTGGCTGAGCAATAACTGCAACGGCCACAGGAGGATTTGCAGGGATAAGGGGAGGTGCAGCAGGAGGATTAACAACAGCAATAACTGCAGGGACATCTGAATCATCGGAATCATCCCCAGATAACTGCAAACACAGAGAGAGAGAGATTATTAGATAATAGGTCGTTTTCCAGACAAAAAGGTCGCTATGACAATTGCTATTTTCAGTTGTTTGAGATAGATACTTACGTTGATGATGTCCGGGACTCCATCATCATCTTCATCATCCTCATCAGCGACCTGCTGTAAACAACGAGAATATGTAAGGTTTAACTACAAAATAGGAAAATTTTCCAGAAAAAATAGTCATGAG